CACCGATGGGAGCCGAAGTTCAGACTGATCGCCCATTTCAAAGAATTTTCATTGATTTTCTCGGTCCGTACCCGCGGTCGAAAAACGGAAACGTTTATATATTTATCGTCTTAGACCATTTGACCAAATTCGTGTTTCTAAAGGCCTTGCCTAAAGCCAGCACCAAGAATGTGGTGAAATTTTTAATCACGGAGGTTTTCCATAAATTTGGAACCCCGGAAACAATCGTTTCGGACAATGGAAAGCAGTTCGTAAGTAAAGAATTTGCGGATATGGTTAGTTGTTTCGGTGTCAGACATGTTAGAACTGCAACTCACTCGCCGCAAGCTAATGCATCCGAGCGGGTTAACCAATCTATCTTAGCAGCTGTAAGGTCGTATCTGCAGGAAGACCATACAGAATGGGACAAGCATTTGTCCGAAATTGAGTTTTCCTTAAGGTCTTCCGTGCAGTCGTCGATAGGAGTTACGCCTTATTTCGCCTTATTCGGAATGAATATGATTGGCCATGGTAGTGTATACCAGTTGGCACGCAAACTTAGAATCTTAAACGATCCCGAAACTAACGTCATTCCGAATGCTGCTAGATTGGATTTGATACGACAGAAAATTCGCGAAAATCTTCATAAAGCATACGCTCGCAACGAAAAATCGTATAACACGCGGTGTCGTCCAGTCAAATTCATACCCGGTCAAGAAGTCTACCGACGTAACTTCCAGCAGAGCGATTTTAAAAACAATTTCAACGCCAAATTCGCCCGAAAATTTCTAAAGTGCCGAATTGTACGACCAGTCGGAAACAGTTTATATGAGGTCGAAGATTTTCAGGGGAAATCGTTAGGGGTTTTTCACGCCAAAGATTTGAAGCAATAGCTTCAATATCTTTGGTGGTTCTAGTCCTAACATTTCTTCCTGAATATCTACCAGTTGACAGCTTCTACTAGTCACCTAATATGTGTCCTAAATGGGTAACTATCTTCTAATACGTATTGTCGAGTCTTCATATTAATCTATCTGTCTTTTACTTATTTGCAGTGAATTTCGGTTTAATATGGTTATTGTTGTAGCCTGAGCAGTACTGAGTTCTGTACTTATCTTTCATTTATATCGTGTCCAGTGAGATCCATAGCTACTTTGGAATGATTAATTATTTGTTTGGATCGACTTAGAGCCAACGTTTCTTAGCTGGTTACATGTGTAACCGGTCATTACCCTATTAGTAGGTGCAACCCCATCAAAGCCTTCCGGTACCGTGCCATTCAAGGCGTAAGGGTTATTAGTCACCTAGGGTAATGACGCAAATCTGAGTCCGATCTTACAGCGAGCCGATACCAAAGGAAACAAATGGGACAATACATATTGGAAGACCAACATGTAGTTGTTCATTCCGTAAGCAGATTGTCACTGGCCGAGATATAAATGATTGATGGTACAGAATCTTCAGTTTTGTTCTGGATATAATCAGTAACTATACTAAACACAATTCATTTGGAGTCAGTAGTAATAACAAGTAGTTTAGGACCTTGTTTCATAGATTTTCTAAACTTTATTTTGTTATTGCTACCGAATCCCTGCACTTATTGTGAAAAGAAAAGGTTTCTATGCAGTCCGACTTAAACTACCTATACTAGCTGTCCAGTCCACTTAACATACTTTCTAGTTTTTCTACTATTTTAACGTTTCACTCACCCGGATTATCTGCTTCATTATCTGCTCTCATTTAGCTATCTATTGTTGTTGTTGTAGTTGTTGCCACCTGAAAAAAAAGTTCGAAAGACTTTAGTAGGGGTTCAAATAGTTATAAATTTAAGTTTTAAATATTTGATTAAGAATACTTGCCAATTCCACTGAATTCTTTTGAGTTGGCATCATAGGGTTCGTCTTTCACGAGGCACTTGAATTCCCACAGAACCTGTATGAAACAAAATATTATTAATATATACCTTTTTAGTTGAGAAAAGAAAAATTCCAAAAGAAATAATAATGAATTTGTCGGAGAACATTTCTCTTTTATAATGCTTCTTTAGGGCTTTTTCAAATCTCACCAGCACTTATACTAGTAAATTAATTTTGTTTTTATATTACGGTTTGGAAATGTCAAGGGGTATTTCTCGCCATAGATCGAAGGATTTATCCTGAAATCTTTGGTGAATCTAGTCCTTGCATTTCCCACCTAGCTCTTTAACACAAGACTTACCTGAGTCTTCATTGAAGTCCATGTCTTCTATTCTAGTTTCCCCATAATGAATTAATAATCTGGAAAGAGAGAAAATATATAAGGAAAAGCATTAGAAATAGGAAATAATATGCAGAGAAAATGAAAATTCCAAAATTTTATAAAAATTATAAAAAAAATATAGAAAAATGATAAAAAAAAAAATATAATAAAAAAATCTGAATTAACTATTATTTGTGAATTTTTTTTTTATTTTTCACTTTTATTTTAAGACTTTTAGTTTTCATTAGCTTTTTAGTTCACAGCACTTTTAGTGAACACCATTCGTTTTACTAATTATTCGCCATAGTTTTATCTTTTTACATTTTTTCCACTTTATCATTTTCACGTCATTTCTAATTAATCACTCCGTTTTTAAAATTTTAGTTTCATTTCAGTAATTTTCTTAAATTTTCGATTTCCACTGTCACACAAGTTTTGCTCACCACTGTAAGAAACCATTTAAGTTTTTAATTATTTCACCATTTCAATTAATTATTTCAATTATTTCAATAGTTTTATTCATTTCAATCACTCACACTTTTATCCGTCACTGTATTTTCCAAAATTTAGTTTTATTCTACACCACACAGTTTCTTTACACACACGGTTAGAATTTTCACTTAATACCATAGAATTATTTTTTTTTGTCACATCACTTTTGTTTTCCACTGTATTAATTTTTTTTTACCGGCTTAATTTTTAGTCACTGTAACTTTCAGTTTCACTTCAAATTTTCATTCACTTTTATTTTTAATTTATTGTGAGCACCGTACACTTTTGATTTGCACTGTATTTTCCATTTTTATTAATTTTTATTCACCGTCAACAATTCATTCGCACAACAGTTTAATTTTATTTTCACTTTTATTTTTTTATTTCATTTCACTTTTGTCGCACACTGTAGATTCCATTTTTATTCACAGACACAATTTTGTTTTACACAATAGTTCTAATTAATTTTTCCTTAATTTTTCACTTTAATCTTGTTTTACACTTCACTTTTGTCCCGCACTGTAATTTCTGGAAAAATAATTTTTAGTTTGTTAATTTTTACCGGCACTAATATTTTTCGCGTTTTATTAATTTTTTTTTTTTTAATTGTCCGTCCGCGCACTTTTTGTACTCACTGTATTTTCCAAATTTTATTTTTTTATCACAATAACACATTACACTCACTTAAAACACTTTTATTTAATTTTTTTTTTTCACACACACTTTCCACACTCACTGTATTCTAAATTTTCAATAAATTCCTAACAGCACTTTTTATTTTGAACAGAATACTTTTTTTATAATATTACACACTTTAAATTCATTCTTACTTACCTTGTTGTTGTCCAACTCCAGAAATTGCTTCACACACCCAATAGCTAACTGTAGCCACATTCCTGAAAGAAACAAACAAAAAAAAATGCATTAAGGATTTTGTTGACCTTGAATGATATTAAATATATTTTTACTTACCAATATTCCACCAGAATCTGCAGCATCCTCCGTCTTTTCCTGAAAAGAAAATATAAAATATTATAAATTAGTAATTTGTTACAATTTTTCAGTAAAATTTCTAAATAAAAATAAATAAATTCAAAAATAAAAATTTCATTAACAAATACTTACCATTGTTGATCACCGCCATTGAAAAATATTAATGAATGCGTTTTTGCATTCTCTCTCCTCCCCTTCCATTTCATTCAAACAGCTGTGTAGTAAATTCAGAGTACGTCGCCGCACGACCAGTTTTAACGGCGGTACAGAGTCGCACTTTTATTCATTAATGAATAAGGGTTGCCATAGTGCAATTTTTTGGTTAGGAATAAAAAAAATGCCCAAAATTCCAGAAAATTTTTAAAATTAGGGTAACTCATAAATTCAGGGCGCAAATTTTTCCACCCCATTCTGTATCCATAAATGGATTACAGAATGGTACGGTTTGTCGTGTGCACCCTGTAGTAGGGCAAAATTTAAAAAGAAGAAGACGGAAAGAGAAGTTGGCAACGCGGCTGTACAAACTAACTGACAGCTGGAAAATGTAAACAAAAACAAAACTATAATGTAAAAAATCTATACGGTTTAGATAAATGGCTGAAATGGTGTTAAATTGATGGGAACCATATTGGTAACCGAGGTTTCTCGTTACCAAAAAAGTAAGATGTCGGTCCTTTTCATTTTTCCCTGCCCAAGAAGAAGGTGGAGCCCGTGGCCGTCAGAGAAAAAAAAATCTTCATATAAATTAAATAATTCTTTTTTTTATTCTTAAAAGTTTTAAACTAAATTAAATCAATCTTAAAGCTAAATAAAGCGAGAAACATAATACTAAAGCAGCAACTCTGAGTCACGCCATCGCCAGCTCCATCCAGCGTGGGACTACTCTAGCAGATCCGCACCATCAGTCCTGTGGTGCCCAGGTATTAAGGTTTTCGACCTTGTAAGTTTACCTCTTACCCGAACGACAGGACGAACAGAACCAGTCAGTCCTTTTAGATAATTTCTATATATTAAAAAAAGAAAAAAGAATAAAAAAATTTCAGTAAACAAAAAAAAAAAAAACAGCTATATATTAGTTTATAGGCAAACCTTACGGTTAGTTGCTCGAAGCCAGTCCGCGGGTTGAAATTTAACCAGGCGTGCGCGTAAGGTTAGGGTTGAGCTCAGGCCTACTTATGAATAGTGTCGCGGTGGATTTGTTCTCATAGGTTGCCGGAAACCAGTATATACAAAAAAAAAAAGAAGAAAAAAAAAATCCCAAATTATTTAAAAGGTCATTATAATATATATTTTTTTTGTTACTTACCTGAAAAACACGAACAGACTAAAACGGACGGACAGAAAACCACACCTGCAACCAGCTCGCACCAAAAGTCCATTTGCTGTAGTCCTGCCAGCTGTCCATCGAGGAACCTGAAAGTAGAAGGGAAAATCTTGAAAAAAAAAAAGAAATTAGAAAAGCATTAAATACTCAAACTCAAAATTAAGTAAAAACTTAAATAAAATTTGGAACATAAAGCTTAAAAACTAAAATTTGATAAAAATTAAATCAAAAATTTGATTAAAGCCTAAAATCTAAAAAATCCTAAAAACTAAATTTTGTTAAAATCTTAAAAACTAAAACTAAAAACTAAAGTTGCTAGAATCTAAATTTGATAAAATTAAAACTAAAAACTAAAATTTGTTAACTAAAGTTTGCTAAAATCTTAAAATTAAATTTTGCTAAATATAAAAAAGGAACTAAATTCGCTAAAAACTAAACTTTGCCAAATTGTTAAATCTTTTGCTATAAATAAACAAAAATTTTTATAATGTTTAAATGAAATCTTTAAATTTTGTTATCATTAATATGATCGGCTAACTTTATTAATAATCGGCGGTAAGTAGGGTGAATAAATGTTTGCAGGGAAGGTATGGGACGTCGAGGAAGATGACGTCATGGCGAGGATGAATCCTCGAGAGGGAGGGTCATAATTTGTGTATAGGTATGACCGTAGGGAGATGCAGGACTACTTTTGGCCCCTTTTTCAAATAATACCCCAAATGCTGGTATGAATTTTTGTGTTGTGTTTGTGGTCCAGATTGCCGGCAAGAACCACCCCATCCGGCGAGCTTTAGCCGCGCAATACGCGGGCATACCAGCGCCGCTAGCAATCTGGCCACTCTGTCCCTTTTTGTTCTTTATGTTGTCTGTTTGTTTATTTAAACAAACAGCTGGCAAACCACACCACTACACGTTAAAAGTTAAAGGTAACGTGATCTTCCCGTTAGCCTATCGGACACTTTTAGCTAAAGTTGACTTGTAATAACGAAAAACACATTATCTGTAGGATAACTTCCTAACTTTAGTTATTGGCAAGTTATAATAATGGGCCTTAGTGTTTAAACAAATTTCTGTCTCTAGTAGGGAAATTTGTTGTTGGAGCTGTTTCAACGTAGTTGAAACAACACAAAACCAAAGTTAATTATTTACAAATAATTAACTTTGGAAATAAAATGCAGGTTGCACTTACTTGTGGTTCAAGGTGAGTAAGAACACAGGTTTGGTTAAACGTTATAACTTCCTTTATTTTCAGGTTTGGGTTTTAGGGTTTGTTTGCTGCTGACGCTGCTGAGGTTTTTTTTTATTAAAGAAAAAACTGCAATGGCGCTTAAGTTGATTGACAGGACGTCAGTTTTTGACACCTGTCAATCTCCTTAAGCACCATTCAGAAGCGTAGCGAGCAGAAGGGGCACATTTAAAGTAGGGGCTCTATGTCCAAGTCAAGGCAGTCTTCATCTGCTGTCTCGGAGGCGCTGTCGCGGGCCTCAACATGCCGCCCCCTTTGCACGGGTGCAAGGATCGAATCACTAAGCCGATTCATAGTAGCGATCATTTGTCGCAACAGCTGATGGGTAGTAGCTTGGCCGGCTGCTTGGTCAGCTAACTGCCGCTGCACCATTGTAGGCCTTCTCCTCGAGCGTCTTCGGCGGTCATTGGCTACAGTCAGTGCCCCAGAATCTTCGGTAGTGTCTCGACGGGTTTCTCCATGAGATGCTGAACGAACGGAATGTTGTGATCTCCGACGTTGTTGAGGTGGGGCTACTCGGTTCGGAATCCGAAGATCACGAATTGGTAACTGTAGGCGTTCTTGGACCGAACGCCTTGGCGGAGAACTAACTACATTCGACTGAGCACTTTCTTTGTGCAATAGAGTGTGGTGATTTTTGCCACATCTGCGACATGCTGAAGCTGTGGTACAATCCTTAACCTGGTGCGACTGGGAAAGGCAATTTAAACAATATCTATGAACCTTCACGGAGTAAAGGCGTTGTCTAATAGAAAACCCGTTAAATATTTTGCATTTCCGCAAATGATGCCTTTGGAAACATACTAGGCATACATCTGAGCGACGAATGGGTTCCATTTTTATCTGAAAAAAAATATGAACAAAGAAAAAAAAAAACAAACAAAAAAGAGAGAAAGATGGATAGTTAGTACAATGATATAGTAATGAGAGATTACTGAAAATTAGACAAATTGAATACTATGTATAAGCTACTTATCCAAGATTGGCAACCAACAGAGTTTTACTATCGGCCGAGTAACCAAACCATATTGCGTTCGGATATCAGCCACTCGTACTCGTTTATCAGATCCGAGATATATAGTTTCAATGCGACCTAACCGCCAATCACTAGGAGGAAGTAGTTCATCCTTTATAATGACGAAATCTCCTACAATCAACTCCTTCTTTGGATATCTCCATTTGTAGCGCTTATGAAGTTCTTGCAAGTATTCGGTCTTCCATCGTTGAGCAAATCGATGATGAAGGGCCTTCAATTTTTCCCATCGATTCAGTAGTGACATATTTAGATCATCATTTGGCATTTCTGGTGGCGCCATTAGTGGTGAACCTCGTAGAAAGTGTCCGGGAGTTAAAACTTCTAAATCCTTAGGATCCTCAGTCATTGGAGACAACGGACGAGAATTAAGAACACCTTCAATCCTAATTAAAAGTGTAGAGAATTCTTCAAAATTAAATTTATGGTTTCCTACAACTTTTCTAAAATGAAGCTTGAAGCTTTTAACTCCAGCTTCCCATAAGCCTCCCATGTGTGGGGCACTTGGTGGGATGAATTTCCACTCGAAGCCGTGGATAGCATATTTTTCAACTATATCCCTATAGGATTGTTCTAAAAACATTGCATATTCAGCAAGCAATGTTTTACTAGCGCCTACGAAATTAGTACCGTTGTCTGACATCAGACGCTTAGGTAAACCTCGTCTTCCAACAAACCTATCAAATGTAGCCAGAAAAGCCTCAGATGAAAGATTGGAACATGGTTCTAGGTGTATAGCTCGTGTAGCAAAGCAAACGAATATGCAGGCGTATCCCTTCATATAGGGTGAATTTCGCAAATGCCCAGCTTTTATCTGAAAAGGTCCAGCAAAGTCTACACCTGTAAAGGTAAACGGTAAGGAGAACGTAGTTCTCTCAGCTGGCAAAGCTGCCATTATTTGCGATAGTACCCTTTGCTTATAGCGAACACAAGTTAAGCACTTATTTATACATTTTTTAACGGCTCTCTTTAGAGCTGGAATATAAAATTGGTATCTAACCATACTAAGCATTAAAGAAACGTCAGCATGCATCAGATTTTGGTGAATAAATTTCAAAATCATTTCACATAAGTTCGATTTGTATGGAATGATTATGGGAAACCTTTCGTCATAGCTCATAGATGAATTAACTAAGCGACCGTTAACTCGTAGAAGGCCGTTAGAATCTAGAAATGGGTTCAGCGTTATTAACGAGCTTTTCTTAGAAATAGCTCTGGAGTTGGACAAGTCGTTATATTCATAGAAATAATATGTCCTTTGCGTCAGTCGTATTAGAACAACTTTAGAATTGTTGAGTTCGTTCTGAGTTATAGTTTCTGGAAAAGTTGTAACCTTTTTTGAGGCTAAATTGTAGAAACGATAGACATAGGCTATAACGCGAAGTGCTCGGTGATATCTTGAGAAACTATTAATAATAGAAAGTTCCTCTCCACTTTCTGCTATTGCTGACGGTACCTGAGATCTCGAAGGTTGTTTTAGTACAGTCCCTTTATTCTTAAAAGACGAAGATGGAGCTGGATCTGTGGAACAAGCAATTAGACATATTTTTCTTTGGTCTGGCGCGTCTTGGAGTGGTTGAGAGAACATTGGCCAGTGATCTTGAGAGCTAAGAAGCCAAAGAGGTCCATGCCACCACAATGGATTATTAACTAGATCTTGAGGCTTGCATCCTCGTGTTCCAAGATCGGCTGGATTTTCAGATGTAGGTACGTGTCTCCACGTGGCATCAACGACATTTTCAATAATTTTGGAGATTCTATTGGCTACAAAAGTTTTCCACGTAGATGGATGTTTTTGAAGCCAAGCAAGAACAATGGTGGAGTCTGTCCATAAATAAACAGATGTGTTTGGGAACAAATTATCACATAACAATTGCCTTACTAATTTGGAAAGAAGTAAGGCGCCACACAATTCCAAGCGCGGAAGACTAAGTTTTTTTAGCGGAGCTACCTTGCTTTTAGCCACTAGCAAATGTGTGCTTCTTCGGTTTGGATTCTCCGATCTAAGGTATACTGCGGCACAGTATGCCCTTTCTGAGGCATCGCAAAACCCATGCAACTGGATATAATTTTCAGGTTGAAAATTCACCCAACGAGGAATTTGAATTCTATCGATATGATGAAAATTGTCAATGAACAATTTCCACTTTTGAAATATATGTGAATTGACATTCTCATCCCACTCTACACCATCTTGCCATAAGTTCTGAAGAAGCATTTTAGCTTCAATAATTATAGGCGTTAGCCATCCTGCCGGATCAAAAAGTTTTGCAATGCAAGATAATATTTGCCTTTTTGTTACTGTACTTCCTAGAGAAATAGATTCGACTTTGTAATTGAAAGTATCACTCATAGCGTTCCAACAAATACCAAGAGTCTTCGTTGAGCTTGAATCATTAAATTTCAATAAATCGTCATTTAAAAGATTTTCCTTTGGAATATGTTCTAATAGTCTATGGTGATTGGCTGTTATTTTTCTCAATGGAAATCCTGCAGAATTTAGTGCGGTGCACAACTGTTTCTGAGATTCTATTGCTGATTCCAATGTATGTCCTCCTGATAGCACATCATCCACATAAGTCTCATTTCTTAATATTAATGACGCTAATGGATTAAGTGTTTCAGATTCGTCAGCCAATTGTAGAAGTGTTCGAATAGCTAAGTAAGGAGCACAATTTATGCCGAAAGTTACCGTAGTTAATTCATAATCTTCTATGTTACCTGTAGTGACATTGCGGAACAATATCCTCTGATATGGTCTATCTGATTCATTAATCATTATTTGACGATACATTTTTTCAATATCGCCATTGAATACATATTCATATTTTCGCCAGTTTAAAATTATAGTCATTAAATCTGACTGAAGGGTTGGTCCACTATATAAGATATCATTCAACGAATATGAACTTTGTGTTTTTCGTGAACCATTAAACACCACGCGAACCTTTGTTGAAGCACTTTCAGGTCTAAACACAGCATGATGTGGCAAATAATATGAATAGTATTTTCCATGTTCTTCTATTTCAGTTGAATTGCATTTTTTCATATGACCTAAATCTATATATTCCTTCAATATATTATTATAAATGTCCAGAAGATTTGATTTTTTAGCTAAATTGGCTTCCATGTGAAGATATTGTTTCTTTGCTTGGTAGCGAGATGAAGATAGATTTATTATTTCTGGAAACTCTGATCTGAATGGTAACTTTACCACATATCTTCCATCTTTTCGTCGAAAAGTGGTTTTTGCAAATAGTTTTTCACAAAATTTATCTTCTTCTGATAAGACACTACTGTTAAATATCTCTTCAGTTTCCCAAAACTTCCTAAGCTGAACACAAATTTCATTGGATTCCCTAGTTTTTTCATTTATATCAACTGTAACGAGTGAAAGGGAGTTTATTTTGAAAGGGCCATATACAAACCATCCGTATACTGAATTTTGTGCTACCATATTTCCTAAAACATGTTGACGAGTCCCCTCGAGTAAAATATATGGTAATATATCACTTCCTAATAACATGTCTACCTGCGAAGAAACATAAAATTTCGGATCCGCCAATTCCAATTCACTGATCTCGTCAAGATTAGGATTGGAAATTGTTGTTGACGGCATCAAACTTGTTAAGTTTGAAACGATTATAGCTTGAGTATCAAGTATAAAATTATGTTTCTCTGCGCAAAGTGTTACATTACAAATTTTCTTTGAATTAGATACTACAGTACCTCCTAATCCACATATTTCAAAATCTGCAGGTTCTGTTTTTAAATTTAATCTATTTCGTATTCTTTCAGTTAGAAACGATCTTTTGGAAGCTGAATCTATCAGAGCTCTAATACTGAACTTATCACCCAAGTGATTGATTTGTACTAAGGCTGTTGGTAATAGAATATTATCATCGTTTACCGATAGATGAGTTTGGACATTTATCTGATCATGTTTACTACAAGAGGGACACTGCTTTTCCGGGCCATTATTTTCCGTTTCCATACTCTTCACAGGATGTGTATATTCAGTATGAAATGAATTTACTGGCCTATTAGCCCTTGAAACCAGTTCATTATTTATGTTATGGTTCACATGTAATAAACTATGATGCTTATTTTTACATTGTGTACAACGAAATATACTTCTGCAATCCTGATTTAAATGAGTAGGCGAAAGACAATTGGTACATATTTTATTCTGTTCTACAAAATCAACTCGCTGCTTAACAGTTAAATCAGAGAATTTTCTACAATTTCTTAGATAATGATTTTCGTTGCAAAATACACATAAGTTCTGACTATTTGTGTCTGTTCTCTTTTTGATATTTTTACTAGTTCCAGGCTTTTGATCACCTTTGTGACTTGATTCGTTTGCCGACATTTGGTCACGTGCCATTTCTATTCTTTCCAATACTCGGTGTCTACTTTTTAAAAAAGTATCCATTTGATGCCAGGATGGCAAATCAGAATCGGATTCTAAAGACTCTTCCCAAGCAGTAATGGTTTGAATAGATAATTTTGTACTGCACAAATATACCAAAATTGGATCCCATTGGTCCACTCGTATACCATGTCCTATTAACATTGATAAACAATCACATATAGTTGTTCTTATCCTGTTAATATCGACACTATTCTCTGATTTGGCTGGCTCTAAATTAAATAGAGTTTTCATCTGAATTTCTACTAAAAATTTTTTGTTCTCATATCTCGACTTTAAAGCGTTCCAAGCTGGCATGTAGTTCTGTTCCGACAAACTGAATTTTCGAACAATTGCCAATGCATCTCCCGAAGTTTTGTTTAGCAAGTGGAAAAACTTTTCAACCTGCGATACTCTTGGATTTGTATGATAGAGAACCGAAAACATATCCCTAAATGCTGGCCACTCTTCATAACTACCATTAAAGACCTTAATATCACAAGCAGGAACACGTAACCCTACTTCTGATAAGTCGAATGTAGTATTCATTGGATAAAATGATGAGCCACCTAATGTAGAAGAATGATATGGGTCAGTTTGTACTGTAGGTGGGCTCTTTGCAGCTTTTAAGAGGTCATTCATACTCGCTTTTGTCAACTGATATTTCTCTCTACATTCTCGAAACCTAGTTCGTGATAACTCTTTAAATTCGGGCGATATTAAGGAATCTGCCGCACTATATATCGCCTCATAGGATGTTCGAATCGTCTTCCAGTCTTCCTCTAAAGATTCTAATTTTGCCTCTACCAAAGATTCTGTTAAATCTTCTGCATGCAATTTTGAGAAACTTTCGCATTCATCAAATAAATTATCTGTCTCTATGACAAATTTTGAGTGAGCTTGACTACCCATTATATGTTGAACTTTAATTTGACCGATGGTTTATTAGTAAATATGCTCAATTATTACCAACTGATCAATAAAAGTGAATTGCTAAGGTTTAGCAGACTTTTTATATTTTTTCCCGTTACGTAGTAACTTATTCTTAAAATATTTCCAATTACCACGTAGTAGTAATTTAGAAGTTAAAATTTTCAAATTAAGCGCTTTTTTACGTTACGTAGTAACTTAACTGCAAATTTGTTAATTTGAATTTATTATTAAACTGATTAACAGTTAAAATGAAATCGGAAAGAATTTGCTATGAAACACTTATTTTACGTAATAACTTGGTTATTGTAAAATGAAAATGTCATTGATTAGCAAAAAAATTTTTTCTCTGTTACGTAGTAACTTGTTCTTAAATTTCGTCCAATTACCACGTAGTAGTAATTTAGAAATTAAACTTTCCGAATTTATCACTCTTTTACGTTACGTAGTAACTTTGACAAATTTATCATCAAAATATATTAATAAAATAACTAATTGTTAAAATGAAATCGCAATGGATTCGCGATGTATTTACGTAATAACTTGGTTGTTATAAATTTTCAATCTTATATAAAACCTCAGCTAGTTTTAGTAATAGCATATAGATTAATTAAACAAATATTGCAAAAGGTATGACCAATTTTCCTTTTACTATTATTATTTCTATAAGAACCGCAGGCAATTTGTAAAATTGCGCGGAAAATACAATATAATTTAGTTCAAATACTTCTTTGTACGGTTCTATAGTTGAATCAAAAAAAGTTGACTTTTCGACTTTTTGCTATTTATGAAAAGTCAGGTTTTCGACTTTTTTGCGTCTAATAAATAGTCGACTTTTTTTTTTTTTTTTTTGTGAAATTGATTCTTCGACTTATTTCTTACAAGATAGTTGATTTTTCGACTTTGTTTTAGAGTCGATTTATAGAACCTTACTTATTTGAATGACCGCTGGCACTGTAAATGCGCGGAACTATTTTATAATGTATGTTTTTTTTTTTTTTTGTTAAATATTTATGAATTACCACGTAGTAGTATTTTATAAATAATAAATTTACTGGGTTTAAACAATTCTAAAATCAACCGCACTTGATTGTTGGTTATTTCCCACTTTAAAACAACAATGGATGTACGTACATATGTATGTGTTTTTATTTTTGATTATTTTAATGTGCCAAGAAACAAAACAAAAAAATGTGAGAATATTTAAAGCTCAAAAACGAAAAGGAAAAAAAAATAATTTCAGATAATTAAACTACTGTTTGGTCACCAGTTCAATACAAAGGCTTTTAAGGACCATAAACAAATTTCTGTCTCTAGTAGGGAAATTTGTTGTTGGAGCTGTTTCAACGTAGTTGAAACAACACAAAACCAAAGTTAATTATTTACAAATAATTAACTTTGGAAATAAAATGCAGGTTGCACTTACTTGTGGTTCAAGGTGAGTAAGAACACAGGTTTGGTTAAACGTTATAACTTCCTTTATTTTCAGGTTTGGGTTTTAGGGTTTGTTTGCTGCTGACGCTGCTGAGGTTTTTTTTTATTAAAGAAAAAACTGCAATGGCGCTTAAGTTGATTGACAGGACGTCAGTTTTTGACACCTGTCAATCTCCTTAAGCACCATTCAGAAGCGTAGCGAGCAGAAGGGGCACATTTAAAGTAGGGGCTCTATGTCCAAGTCAAGGCAGTCTTCATCTGCTGTCTCGGAGGCGCTGTCGCGGGCCTCAACAGTGTTTCTAGATCTAAAAATTTTATATAAATTGGATCATTGCGTTCGAATAAAATCAAATTTCCCATTTCAAATTTCTCCACCACCATCAGTGGTGATAGAGGGTATATATAAGTTTGTCATTCCGTGTGTAACACCAAGAAATATTCATCTGAGACCCAACAAAGTATATATTCTGGGTCCTTATGAAATTCTGAGTCGATTTAGCTATGTCCGTCTGTCTGTCCGTCCGTTGGTCTGTCTGTCTGTGTAAAACACGCTCACGTTAAAACGAAGCAATATAATTTAACCAAATTCACCCAAAGTATTCATTATTATCCGGTACAGTTTGGTATTGAAAATGAGCAAAATCGGTTCACATCGGGAATAGTTATGAATCAAAATTTAAAACAACTCCGAAAAAAATAAGCATCTTTTACACATTCTGATGTAATTTTCTCGAAAACTATGCAAGATAATTTCATGAAAGTCATCACACATTCGTTTCTACACAAGATCTTAATTCCTGCTGGAAATTTCCAGAATCGGTCCACAATTTCATATACCTCCCATACAAAAGTACATATTCCCGGAAAATGGGTTTTTTATTAATAACTTCCGTCAGAATGTTGATATCTTCACAAAATTTTACAAATTAAAATCTTATGTCAATAGAATTCATTCAGAGAAAAAACTTTCTGGATTGGTCCATAATTGGACATAGCTCCCATACAAAGTCCCCTCCCGAAAATCACTTAAACGCACATAACTCATTACTAAATTAAGATATCCATATAAAATTTGGTACAAGTATTGCTCATATGCACAGAAATATTGCTATGAAATTTTTTTCCGATCGGTCCATAATTGGTCACAGCTCCCATACAAGGTCCCCTCCCGAAAGTCACTTAAACGCGCATAACTCATTACTAAATTAAGATATCCATATAAAATTTGGTACAAGTATTGCTCATATGCACAGAAATATTACTTTGAAAATTTTTTCTGATCAGTCCATAATTGGTCATAGCTCCCATACAAGGAACCTTCCCGAAAATCACTTAAACGCGCATAACTCATTACTAAATTAAGATATCCATATGAAATTTGGAATAAGTATTGCTCATATGCACAGAAATATTATTGTTAAATTATTTTCCGATCGGTACATAATTGGTCACAGCTCCCATACAAGGTGCCCTCCCGAAAATCACTTAAACGCACATAACTCATTACAAAATATTGATATCCATACATTTAGCACAAATATTGCTCTTATATACATAAATTGCACTATAAAATTGTTTTGCGTTCGGTCCATAACTGGTCATAGCTCTCATACTAGGTCTCCTCTAGAAAATCACTTAAATGCAGAATATCCATTGCCAAATAATGATATAGATACAGAATTTTAAAATTTTGTCTTTATATACATAATTGGTCATAGCTCCCATACAAGGTCCTTTTACGAAAATCTCTTAAACGCACATTACTCATTACCAAATAAAGCTATTGATACAAAATTTGGCACAAATATTAGTTTGGTACAGTGCACTCGCGGTAACGTGAACACCGTCTAACGTGAACACCGCCTAACGTGAACAGATGTTTTTTACATTGACTACTCTGTAACGTGAACAAACACAGAAAGCTCTATAACGTGAACAATTTTTTCACAGTATATGTTTTCTAAGCATGTACACAACATTGAAATACATTCATTAAATTCGAATTTTAAAATTTTGGGAATCCCCTTATATAAATGAGTGTATATCCCCTAAATTATTTTGTTTGTATGGCAAAGAAATTTGAAGTTAGTTTCTTATGTGAAGTGAATCAGTCGGCATGAGTGTAAAAAAATCTAAATGTTTGCAGTTAAAAGAAAAGGCAGACATTTTAGATAGTTTGCAAAAAGGAACAAGTGTGACTAGTTTAGCAAAAAAGTATAATGTCGCTAAGTCGACAATATGCAGTATTAAAAAGAAAAACGAAGCAATTTTGAGTTGTGTAAACAACACATATCAAGGACCGGGAAAAAGACAAACTTTAAAATCATCAGAACTTCCAGTTATGGAAAAAACTCTTTACCGTTGGTTCCTCCGAATGCGTGATAGGAATTGGCCTGTAAGTGGTCTAATGTTAAAAGAAAAAGCTAAGGAATTACATTCCCAACTTAAAGAAAATGAGTCCGGGTTCAATGCTAGTGACGGATGGCTTCAGCGATTTAAGAAAAGGTATGGAGTTAGACTTCTTAAAGTATCCGGAGAAAAACTCTCATCGCAGCCTGAATTGGTGGATCCATTTAAGCTAAAATTGAAACAAAAAATTGAAGAAATGGAGTTATGCAATGACCAACTCAATAATGCTGATGAGTCTGGTTTATTCTGGAAACTTTTACCAGATAAAACGTACGTTGCAATGCAAGAGAAAAGTGCTCCTGGTACAAAGATGGAGAAGCAACGTGTAACGTTCCTGTGTTGCGCAAATGCATCAGGTGCACATAGACTTAAACTTTTGATAATTGGTAAGGCCAAAAATCCACGCAGTTTTAAAAACTTCGTTTGTCCTACGGATTATAAGAATTCGAAATCGGCCTGGATGACGTCAGCCATTTTTAAGCATTGGTTCCATCAATCCTTTGTACCACAGGTAAGAAAATTCATCGTTGACTTATGTAAATGTATGTACGTATCACTAAAAGTTCTTGTTTTTAACTAGGTGAAATTGTTTCTAAAGAAGAAGAACTTGCCAATGAAGGCACTATTACTTATCGATAATGCTCCCTCTCATCCAAGCGAAGCAGAATTAAAAACTGAAGATGGAAACATAATTGCCATGTTTATGCCACCAAATGTCACCCCCATAATCCAACCAATGGATCAAAATGCTATTAAAATAACAAAATTATACTACAGAAACAGCTTGTTAGCTTCGATAGCAGCTAAAAACTCTGATTTGCTTCAATCAATGAGAAATGTAACTTTGAAAGATGCTGTCACTCTTTTATCTGTCGCATGGGATCGGGTCAGCACAGAAACTCTTGCCAAATGCTGGAAAAATATTTTAAGTTTGGTTGGAAACGAGGAGGACCCTGAAGATAACATTCCACTAAGTATTCTAAAAGAGAAATGGGATGCAGAAATTAATTCTTTAATGCAAATGTCAGCCGATCTCCTTCAGGACTTAAGTCCTCAGGTAAGAATTTTGCGATAAACTTTTAAATCACAATTAAGGCATTGTTTTACTAACTTTTAGGTTGAGTTTACCCTGCCAATGGTTCAGGAGTGGAATAATGATACCTGTGTTAATGATACCACTGAAATCCATGAAATTGTGCAAAACGAAGAAAGTGATGACGATGATTGCACTGATCCTGTTAAAAAAGTTGCCGCAAGTGAGGCAATTGAAATCTTTAACAAGGCATTACAATGGGCAGGAGATGCAACGGTGGATCAAAGTGACATGAGTGTACTTAGACGCTTAAGGGAGAAAGCAATATTTCAGCTATTAGAGAAGAAAAAGCAGCAGAAAAAGATAACGGATTTCTTTAATGCATAAATGTAATGAGTAATTTTATTACTATGTAATTTTATTTCAATTGATATTTTCTCGTTATCTCGTTTTGTTTTGTAATGGATTTTAATAAAATTTTAGTTTTATATTGTAATAATATAAATAATAATAAAAGAATATCACGCTCAAGCGTGTAAAATACAGATTTATAAATTAAAATTTGATATTTTTTCATGAAATTTGACAATCGCTAACGTGAACAATTTCGCTAACATGAACTCCCTTGGTTTTAATTAGTTCACGTTACCGCGAGTGCACTGTATACAAAAATTCTATTTCCAGATTTTTTAACGATCGGTTCATAACATGGGTACGGTCGGTCCCATGCAAGTGTCCTTTCAGAAAATCACTTGAACACACATTACTTATTACTAAATTACGATATATATACAAAATTTGACTGAAATATAGCTTTTATGTACAGAAATTTTGCTTAAAGAATTTTTTACGATCGGTCTAGAATTGGTCATATCTCCCATACTAGGGCCTGCCACTAAAAGCAATTTAACCGTCTTTAACTAGTTGCATTATCAATTTGTGTAGAACAAAATTATATATATATGTATTTTGAAAATCCTTAAATCTTTCACACACATGCATACATGCAAATTACTAAATATCGCTAAAGCATATCTTAGGGCGCTATAAAAATATAAAAGAAAACGGCGTTTGTAATGTTCAATAAATCTTGGAATTGTAATGATTCTTGGGATTTTTCTATTTCAGACATGAGAAAACTTATTTCTACAAATATTTAATCATTTAAAAAACTATTGATATCTGGTGGAGGGTATTTAAGATTCGGCTCAGCCGAATATAGCACTCTAACTTGTTGTATCTTTTATAGTTTAGGAGATATGAGGTTACCGAATTTACCCTTTTTTATCCCCTAAACATTCGAATTTCCAAAAATCCCGTCTTAGTGGATCTATTTTGTGGGAGACCAACCTCCTGTCCAAATTTCAGCTCTTTTGCTTCAACCGTTTAGGCTGTGCGATGATGAATCAGTCAGTCAGTAACGTTAGAATTTATATATAGATATGGAACCTGACTGTTGAATCGAGGGTCTCAATTTCAAAATATCTTATAAAACATGAATATAAAATAAAATTAATTCGTAAAAGTACTAAAATCGCCTATAAAACTGTTTTTTTAAATTATTTAAGAGTCGAAAAAGTTTTGGGACCATTAATAGGTATCGAAAACTTACCGATTTTCAGGGCAATTTTAGGCCAATTTAGCACTACTTTAAAATTCGAACACTTTAGAATGGGTAAAAATCAAGGTATTAAATATGCTAAAATAATGCTAAAAAAAGTCCAATTAGCATCGAAAACTCATGACAAATCATAATGCAATAGGGTTTAGAATTTGGGATTAATACCATTATATATATTATATTATATATTCTATTATATACAAATTAAAAATAAATATAAAAACCGAAACATTTGAAATAGTTTTCGTTTGATTATATTTTTTAGAAGCCTTTATTATCAAAGCCTTTATTATCAAAAAAAGAATGAAAAAATTTTGTTTGTAGGATTTTATACCATATAAAAAATTGTTTCTATATCTACCATATAGTTTGGCAGAAAATAGGTTTTCCACTGGAAAATTTTCTTGTTTCTATTTTTTTTTTGCCGGCACTGTATATATATTAATCTTGTTCTTCATCTTAACCCCATGGCTATCTCAATATCTGGAAAGGGGAATCATTTTTCCCCTTACCAGATAATGAGATAGCCGAAATTTGAGGTCGATTAAAAAACGTTAACACGTGTCGCTCGTCACTCAAAGTTTAAAAAAATTCAAATTTTTGGCCAAAAAGCTAACATATGAAGCTATAACTCCAGAACTGTAAATAGTAGAAACACGCTTAGTAGTTAGCTTTTTGGGCAAAAATTTGGATACTTTCAAACATTGAGCGACGAGCGGCACGTGTTAACGTTTATTAATCGAGCTCAAATTTCGGCTATCTCAATATATATGTATGTATATCTCAATCAATATATTGTT